ACCACTATTTCTGAATTTTTATCAATCAGGTCACCTAACTATTTAAATGCATTCAATCAGACCACTTTCCGTTAACATTTAACTGAAACACTGACTTGGCAGTTAATAAAATTGGTGTAATTACACATTTAGTCCTCAATATATGCATATTCTTTCAATTTGGTCATAAATTTAATTCAATTTAATAAATTTAATTCAATTTAATAAATTTAATCTCCAATTAGATAGTGCCACATGTCACTATCGGATTGGAGATTAAATTTATTAATTTTAATTTTTTACTTTATTTTATTTTGTATCCAATGCGGCGGTGACACGTGTCACCACCTTATTTAATACAAAAGAAATCATTTGCACCCATGAGGGAACGAACCAATATCCCAACAATTACTTGGGAGGGCTTAGACCACTATGCTAAACCCCTCACTTAATCTCATTTTACATCATTTTATATATTTTGTTTAGTTGAAGACAAGAAAAAAAATTGAAAAAAATAAAGAATCAATCGAAAGGATTGGAAATTAGACCTTTAACTTGGATTGGGACACTCCTACCCCTGCATCAACACTCATATTTGGATTATATTTTACAACATATTATATTTAGCTTGTATTATAACGGTAATAATAAAATGAATCAAACCTGATTTTTTAAAGAATATATAAACGCCAAAACTATTTAAACAAATTTAATTAATGTTTTATAAATATTATATATATATATATATATATTAAAATGTATTTAATATAAAATTTAAATTAATAATAAAATTAATATTTTAAATTAAATTCGATATGTAGAAAAATAAATATTTTTAAAACAATTCTAAAAATTAATTTAACCAAATCTTGAATTTAGATTTTAAACTATATTTATTTTTATATAATTAAAGTATAATTTTATTTTGTTTAACATAATTAATAATAAAATATATATATCAGTTCTTTATATATAATCATAAAATTAAATTAAATTTTTAAAAAAAGTTAATTTAATGATTATAAATATAATGATTATAAATATGGAAACTATATAAAAATCAATATAATTTAAAAATATAAAAATTGATTTCCTTAGAGATTATGAGTTTGAGCACCAGCGGCAGCAGCATAGTGATTGAGTGTTCATTGTCAAATGATTAAGAGTATTTAGAATATATACTATTTTGTAATTATCTTAGCTTTAATTAAAAGAAAGAGTGTAATATTCCCCTTACACGATTATACTTGCATATTTTAAATAATATATATATATATATATATATTGCATCATATAATAGATGTAAAAATGCTAATTAGTAAAATAACACATGAAAATAAAGCAATATATCAATGTCACATTCTCCTAATTAAATAGAATACTTTTTTTTGACGATAAGGTGTTGATTATTTGAAAAAGTTGAAGTCTTGATTTTTTATATTTATTTTTTAAAAATATTCTAAATTTAAATCTCATTATATATGTTATTTGTAATTATTATATTGTATAATTTAAAAGTCAAAGGTAGAATCAAAAAGCAGAAAAAGCATGGGCGGTTGGAAAATACAACTACTCATATTTTAACTGTTCAGTTTTCACAGCATTTGGAATCTTTCATCACAATTTATCTTGCGTAAACTACACTTATGATTCTTCTTACTTTTAGCGTATTTTATTTTGGCCACAAATTTTGAAAATGTAATATTTTGGTCAACTATGTTATCAGTATTCATTACATTTTGATCACTGAATCATCAACTACGGTGAGTTTGATGATGTAAAAGTGGTTAAATTTTAACTTGACCCTTAAACTTCAAAATATTGATTTGGCCAAAAACTTTAGATAAAATACTAACGGAAACCCTTAACTTTAGGTGAAAATCAATTTAACATTTAAATCCAGTCAAAGTTTTCGTCGTCGATCATCGTTGGTTGTCATCATCGATCACCATTGATCGTCATCGATGATGACCATTGGGCCCCATAATTTTCATTTCACTCCATTTGAGCTTCTGAACGTTAATCTGATATATGTTTCATCATAAAATATATACAAATCTAGTCTAAACCCATTCATATTTCTTTAAAAATAAATTATGATAATAAATTTATAATTAAGTTCCTTTAAAGATAAGGACAATGAAAATCCAAGTCTATATCATAATATGATTTATACTATAACGGTACTAATTTAATTTATATACATTTTGATAAACTGTATATTACATATAATTTTATCTTTATTTTCCAGCCTTTTATGTATTGTACAAGGTGTTTCATGTGTACTTTTTTTTCTATAACAAATTAAAATATAAATTTTTTATAAATTAAATTATATATTACATTTGTGTTAAATAGTAAATAAGATAATAATATAATTTTGTAGAAAACCTAACTTCAATAAGATATCGATATAATTCTTTAGTATCAATAGTATACTTTTATTTAAATAGAATCATTGAACTTTATTTTGATATCGATACAGTTGTCTAATATTGATATTGTACATGTACAATATTGAATATTGATAATTGATAATAATATTGATATTAATTTGGGGTTTATAAATCACCATCCCTCTCTTAACTATTGATTTTAAGAATTTGGTATCGACACTACAAATATGGTACTAATACTTGTGTTAGTATCATTTTTAAAAGGCTTAATTTAAAATAAGTGCCTAAACTTTATCTTAAATAACGATTTGGTGCTTAAAGAAATTTTCTCTAAAAATTGGTGCCTAACACGTTTTCTTAGTTACACTTTTAGGTGCTCCGTTATATTTTTAATTTTTTTAATAATACAAGTATCATTTAAAAAAAACACTAAATTTATTTACAAACAAACCCCAAAAATTAATGAAATTATAAAAAAACTCTAAAAAACTAAAATCTTTCGTTTTAACCTATTACTAACCGTGGAACACCGAAGGAGCACCGACGGAGCGATAGAGAGGATGAGTTTTGAACGGAATTTCACGGTGGTTCAAATGATGGTGACGACGTGGCTTATGGACGTCGGGATCGACCGGAGTCTACGAAAAATAGCAATGGTGGCTTAAAATCCGACGAACCTTCGAACACTTCTCCACGAAAAATGGTGGCAGCTTACGGCGAAAGTCCAGCAAGGATTTGATCAGGGGTCAACGCCGGTGCTAGTGATGGTGACGGTCTCGAGTGGCCGAACGATGACTATGGAAGGGGGGAAAGGAAGGGAGAAGGGGGTTGCTAATTCTGTGTGAGGATTTGTTTTTTTTAAATATTTTTTTTTATTTTTATAAAAATTTAAAATAAATTCTCAAAATTTCCAGAGCTCTGCATGTGTCACTTAATAGCCAAATTTAACGGACGTTACGGTCCAGTCACTTAAAAGTGCTCCGATGAAAACGTTAGGCACCTGATTTTAACGAAAAGAATCTTAATGTACTAAAACATTTTTTTCGAGTTAAAGTTCATACACTTAATTTTTATTAACCCTTTTTTAAAAAAAAATCAACTTATAAATAAATAAAGTTGGTTGAATTCTTTAGAAGGGACAATAATATTGTGTAAATTTAACTTTTGATCATATATATGATTGGAATTCAAATTTTCAAGTCACGAAAAAAAGTCCACTACTGCGTGCCCTGCCACTCGTTTAATGCTTACCTAAATTTTTTTTAACTAATCTAACTAGGTAGAAGGTAGTATTTATTCTTAAATAATTATTAATCTTTTGTTATTGAATATCCACACTTTTAATATTTTTTGTGCTCAAATTTAAAACTTGAATGAATAATGACAATTTTTTTTATCGCTAATACAGATCGATTAGTACATTTACATAAAAGTTAGCCATGGTTACTGCTGACATGTGGTCAGCTTAATCACCAAACGTTAAGTTGTGAATTTATTTGAGTGTCTCCTCACCCCCACCTTATTAAATCCTAAATTTCATGCTTTTCTTACATTCAGTTACCAGATCCAAGGGTCCATATTGAAATTACTGTTTGAAGGGCCCCAAAATTGTATTCAAGAAAGTATAAAATACAACAGTGGTCACTAAACTTTATTTGCTTTTACTTTCGTCACTGACACTAGCTTTTATTTTCATTTTGACCACACAAGATTAATTTTGGTTCATGAAATGTGTCATCATAATGTGATGACACATGTCAAAACCTGAATGATTGAAAAATTAAGATTACTTGATAAACACGATATCAAACTAAGGATGGTAACGAGGCAAATTTTTTATTTACCCGATCCAGATTCAATATATTCTAAATATTATTTAATTATGCTTGACCATCGGTGAAGTGTCACACTGTTATCAAACATGGATTTTAAAACTCAAATATGGTAAGAGAAAAAAGAGAGGAAATATTATCACATTATGTTGGTACATATTACTAATAAAATTTAATTATGAGTGGCCAAAATGAAAATATAAACTAAAAGTAATGACTAAAATGAAAATGTTAAAGTTTGATAACCAAAACGATTTATTTGAAAAATATTAGTGAGTATTGTAATAATTTATCCTAAAAGAAACCCACTTGTCTAAGAAACCGAAACCAAACTGCCTTTCTGACACAATCCCAAAGTAAAGAAAAGAACACAAGGGAAGGTAAGCCTTTTTGATGATTCCGAAAAATGAAAAAGACAGCCAACAACCATCGCACAATGGACACGTGCGTAACTAAACAACTCTTCCTCTCACGTGCCACACGCACCAAAGATGGTCGTCAATCAAATGACTAAAATAATTTTCAACTAATTTATTAAGTTATTGGTCTAATAAAAGTTATAAAATATTTATTTAATTATTTATGTAATTAAAATTTATTTTTAATAAATCAATATTTAATTCAGACGTTCACTCTGTTATTTTTAATAATCAAAATACTCAAAAAATTAATGTCCAATTAACTCAACAAATCATCGCCATATAATAGAGGAGCATTCGAATACATTATCCCCACAAAAGAAGAGAAGAAATCTAAAAAGGGAAAAGCAATCGATCACACAACACACAAAGTAGCATGTATTTATTTCATTCCATATAACAAAAACACTACACTTCATTACAATATCACAATCATGATTCAAACTTCTTCTTCATCTTCTTCTTCCTACTTACATCTTTCATCCTCCATTGCTATGACCCAAAAGCTTATGTATAATCCCATTCTATAAACGAAATAAAAAGGGGGCTTATTTTTTGCACATCTAGCACTTGCTTGCTGCTGCTATAATGTATATACAGAAGAGTAGAAGTGTGATAAATGGCGGCACTTTTCGTGGTAAAAAAAGGTTGGCCATTCTCACACCTTGCTTTTTCGTATAATATTATATTTAAAAACGTGAGTGGTTAATATTGTATGATTAGACATCCCATTGGGGCTCGATGGGGAACCCCCTTTCTGCGATTCCCACTTCGGTAACGCACCGATTTCGGAGGCGGCGTTGAAGGACAAAAGCTTTGCACTTTGTCCTTCTTCTTCACCATTCCATGGCTACTGCTGCTGTATGATGAATCCTCGGAGTCTGATGCCATGGCTGACTGCCTCTTCTTCCTCTTCTGGAAATTATTCGATGTGCCCACAATCTGCAATTTGAACATAAATGCGCAAAGAAGTCAATATTGATTTGTCCAAAGGAATTTAAGACAATTTGACCATTTGGGTTCTGCTCGGAAAACTAAACCATGAAAAGTCGTACCTTGCAACCGAGGGAGCAGAAGCGGAAGGAGTCAACAAGGCTTCGATCGCAGACGTCACAGGTATTGGTAACACCTTTTCCAGGCCTTGGCTGAGGCCTCTCATTGATGAACACGACCTTAGCACTGTTTATAACATAAGTCTGCACACCAGAGATGTCCAGGTATTTCTGTATATCCGATACCCTGATCACATCATGGTAAGAAGACCTCCTAATCTGTCAAATACAAACCAAATCGCATTAGTAATTCCTAATAAAATCTGGGATTTTGGCAATCAACGACCATTAACAAACAATCCACCGTGATTTCCCTGATTTTATTTGTCTCGTCTGTCAGACAATGCAAGAAAATGCCTTTATTTTTGCAAAAAATGCATGTTTGGAAGCGGAGAAAATGTGTGGAAGAAAAAGAGACTATGGGCGACCTTTAGAAAAGTACAAACACCTGCCCTGGACTGAGACTCGAGCTTTTTTATCTTTTCGGTACAAATTAGAAAAACTGAACAAAAACAACTCGATTAAGAAATGTGCTTTAGATGGAAACAAACTGGATCAAGAAAGGACATCGAACTGTAACCCAGAATTGGAAACCTGAATGCCAGAAAAAGGGATTGAGCCAACAGTATTCCCCCTTCATCCCATTAAAGGAAATGAAACAAATTTCAAATGAAATAACAAAAAAAAGGGTAATAAAGTTAGTACTGGTAGTAGTGTTTTTTGAAAGAAACGATGAGAAAAACAAAATCAAGACGAAGATGAGAAGGGTAAAGTACTGAACCTGAATGTAACGATGATCCTTGTGATAAGCGAGGCAGAAAGAACAGAGAGCGCCATTCATGCAATCCAAGCAGTACATATTGCATTCGCTCTTGTGAGAATCAGCATGAAGCTTGCACTGAACAAAGAAATGCTCTGTTAACAAAGGCGACAGCCACGGAGGCCACCTGTTGTCTTCTCCATCCGGCCCACCAGCTCCCTGTCGAAACGCCATTGCATTAAAAACATATTCTAAAGAAAACCCAGATCAAGAAATCATCATAAAAACAATGTAAAACACAAAATCTACAGGAAGATACCATGATCCTCCTGTTCTTGGGCTTGATTTCACGGATATTAGAATCTTGATTTTCGATCGCCAGCTTGAACAAAATGGAAGAGAGAGAAAAACCAGAGTAAAAAAAGTTTTTGAGCGAGAAGCAGAGGAGGCGAGAGAGAGAGATGAAAACGCAAATACTTGGAGAAGGGAACAGGTCCCGTTCTTATCTAAGCAGAATCCACATCCGACCCTAAATCCGAAGCTAATCTCTACGATGAGATGAGAGATGCGTTGGGTGCACGGAACCCACCTCCATCTTTCCTTTTATATATATATATATTTTCATTTCGTTTTCACCCTCTCCATATCATTTTTCTTAATGCATTAAATTTAATCAATTCTACTTTTATTATATAAGCTTTATTTGGGGTACATTTTATTTTTTTAAATAGTAAATTATAAATGATATTATTTTATTATTTATTTTTCAAAAAAATGATATTATTTAAAATTTTATTAAATACATATATATACCTTACAAACATAATTACTCGAATTTAGAATATCTTAAAAGGATATTTTTATCTTTTTACTACTAAGATCACGTGATATGTTCTATTATTTAATTTTTTATTAGACAGAAACAACCAGTTAAAAATATAATTAATTCATTACTTTTCCATTTCATGAGAAATAATGTTATGCTTATATAAAACTTTCTTAAAATGGTAACTGAATAATTGTTAATGAATGCTTGTATATGGTAATTTTATGTAAATGAGATAACAAAATTGATTATGAAAAAAATATTTTAATATAAATGTATTCTTTAAAAAAGGGATTTTTATATAACTATTAATATTAAATTTATTATTGATTAATTCATTTCAGATGCTATAAAGATTTATTATGGAAACAATCTTCAAAATTATAAGGTTATTGTTAGTTGACGGCTTAAAAAAAAGTCTTCAAATATACTATTTTTTGTTTAAGCCCTTAAAATATACTCTGACAATCAATGTTACGTTGACATATCACACAAAATTAGATAATCATTTTGATCCGAAAAATATTTTAGAGACTTGAAGCAAAAAATTATGTAGTTTAAGGACTTGTTTTGGCGAAAAATAGTTAAGATATTTAAAATGATTACGTATAATATTTTAATAATTTATGTCGACCAAGAAAATAATCTAGGGGCTTAAGGGGAAAAAACAAAATTTAGCATTTTTTTTAATTTAAGTCTTAGTTGACATAAATCTTTTGATTCAAACATTGTTTAGGTACATCTCAATTCTGAAGGTTTGACAAATTGAAATTTATAAAACACTTATGAAATCTAAATAAAGAAATAATTTATATTTTAACTTCAGACATCATTTTCTACAATCACACTAAGAACATAAATATGGATTATTTTCTACAATCACACTAAGAAAAAACACATGTATTATCTTCTAGATTCTAGCTTGTACTGCAAAAAGACAATTAAAACTTTAAGTTAGAATATGATTTTATTTAAATCAAAATCGACTACACAATACACTGGTAGTCTTACACTACAAACATCAAATAGACTTGCAATGCTACAATGGATACTTCAACCCATCATCAAAGACACGTAATAGTAAATATATATATATATATTAAAATTTTAAAAATATTATAACATTATATATTTCTGTTTTTTTTATTAAAAATTATTCAATTATTGTTGGACACGTGCTATGTATTTATGGAGAATGTCAACATTGTAACGATCCGAAATTTTGAGTCAACATTTAAATATTTGTATGACGGGGACATATATACATAAAGTTCTCAAATGTAAATATTTTCAAATTTCTTTAACATTTTATATCGTTTACGATATGATTTTTTAATTATATATGATAATTATTGTAGTCACTCCTTTTCTGGAATTTATTTAGTATATATATAATAATATAATGTAGTTTTTGAAAACTTATAATATATAGTTTTTAGAAAACTTTTTAGAAAACATAGTTTTAAAAAATGATTTTTGAAAATGTATAATATAATATTATATACTTTTTATTATTATATATATTATATTATATTATATTATTTATTTTATTTTATTTATTTCATTTTATTTTTTATTCCATGTCCAAATTAAGAGTCTAGGTCCATAATCCAAGTCCAAGAAGTCTAGCAAGGGTCCAACAAAGAGCCCAATCGGGTAGCCTGACCCAGAAACCCGATTAGAGGGCCTGATCCAGCCTAAAGTGAAATTAGGGTTTCGTGTTTAACTAGGGGCACCGCAAGAGAGGAAGCATGCAACGCAAGAGAGGAAGCATGCAACGCAAGAGAGGAAGCAGGCAACGCGCGTGGAGGCCATACGCCAGTAAATCGGTCGAGATATTCGGTCGAGTGCCAGTGACTGAACCATCCCTAGATTCCCAGCCACACCAACAACCAATGAAGCTGAACGGGACTGAACCATCCCGAAAAAATTGGAAACACCCAAAACCCCAAGATATTCAGGACCACAACGGCCGGTTACAAGGCTATAAAAGCCTTTGGTCATGCAACGATCGACATAAACACAAAAAAAAAACAGCAATCACTGAAACGAAGACCATAAACAAACGAAAAGACATCATCAGAGTAAACTCAAAAGCCGTCAAAAGAACACAGAGAAACACCACAAGCAACACAACAATATATAAGTAAAAACCAAAGCGATGAAATAACATCTAAAGCAGAGAAAGAAAAGCTTTAAAAGCCAAGGTTAGCATCAGCACTGTCAAAGGGAGCCAAAGGTCGTCGGAAAAACGAAAAGCCACACCGGAAAAAGGTAAACTCGAGAGCTCTTTTTATAGATATATGCTTGTAAGGTGATTTAAAGGTGTTTTTGGTCTCGGTTTTGCACTCACAAGAACTAGGAGAGTGTTTTGGATAAGTATTGTATTTTTCGGCCGCCGGAGCGATGAAGCAGGGGCGTTCAGCCACCGGACGATGGCCGACCATTGGTTGGATTGAGGAGAGAAGGGAGAGGTTTTTGGTTTTTTTATTGTTAAGTTTGGGTTTTAAATGATTTTTTTTTTGTTTTGGGGTATTTATAACCAGGAGACCTATGTGTAATTAATAAAATTTTAAATTATTTCCGTAGTTCCTCAAAGTTTGATGCATAATTCATTTTGGTCACCAGTTGTATTTCTATAACAGTTCCATATATTAAATATTTATTTGTTTACGCTAAGCATTTATTCTTGGGATATGTTTTTTTCGATAATCATATAGGGAAGAATACGATGCTCAGTAAATATCTAAAGATATTCTCAAATAATTGTTCTCAAGTCACTGGCATTCAATAGCAGCTGGATAAATATCTAAAAATATATGAATTTAAAATTAACCACAAATTTTATGATATCAAATCTATAATTAAATGATCATTTCATTGTTAAAAACATGAATCACTGACCATTAATATTATTTAAGTTAATGGATTTTAATAGACTTGAAAACACCATTATTATAATCAACAAGAAGTTGATCTAGTATAATGAGATATTAGATCCCTTAAGTAAGATTAGGGGTTAGAATCCTGAGGTTTGAGAATAGAGCAAACTGGGTTAGGAAGGTCATCCTCGTATCTGCAATACCCGATCTAGATTAGTTGATCAATAGATAAGATATCAATGATTAATTAAAAATAGTGTGATTATATTATATTATATAATAAACAAGATATGATGTGATATTTAAACCCAAAATTAACCACAGTTTTAATTTAGTTTAAACCAAAATCAAGCATAACCACACCAAGTCAAATTATAATATAATGCTCTAGATACGATGTGATATTTTATAGTTAAACTAATAATTATAATAACACAATGACCACATTAACATATATTGATAGTTTGGGGATGCAATTAAAATATCTTAAAATTTTAGAACAAATATTGATTTGGAGTCATAGTTTAGAGATGGCCAGTGCAATTTGCTCAGATATAAGTACATTACAAAATTTTGGAAAGAAATTAAAATTTACTCGATCAAAAGGATAAAATTTAGAAAGTTTGAAACCGTGTGTTTAGTTTTGAATATTTTAGTATTTATTAATAATGCTAAATCTTGAATTGTTTTCTTTCTAAATTATGATATTGTCGATAACTTTGGGTTTAGTTTTTGTCTGAACTACAAAGATCAAATTAAAATAAAATCAACCGTACGTCGAAGTTTAGGACCCACATTCCTTTTCTCTGGTTTGGTTTAGTGTGTCCATATTTCATAAGCTTTGCAAAATCCCAAGCTTTGGGCTACACACTACACCCCGTTCCAATACCACATCGTAGGCCAGGGTTGTAGCCAATTACGTGAAGTAACACCCTCAATTTTATTGTTTTAATTAATTTCGGGGAGCAAATTGTAAAACTTTAAACCTTGGGGTCAGTTTTTAAAGCTTTTGGAAGTTAAGTTCAGTGACCTAGCTCCAGATTCAACCCTTCTTTGTCTGAAAAGAAAATAATAATAATAAAATGTGTACGTGGTTAGGATTGAAACTTTGACCTGCTAAACCATCACTTTAATCCTTAATCGTGTAACCTATAACACTATTGTCGATGGGTTTGGTTAAAAATATATTTTTATTTATCTGGTTTGAGATTTTAAATCCTTAAAATTTGAAACTAAATCCCTAAATCGTGAAAACCCCAAGCTCTCACCAACCTCAATCATCGCCCTTCCGTTCACCGATCTCCGGCCGACGGTGGTGTGCACCGCCACCACAACCTTGCTCCCCATCGTCCCCTGGTCAAAAGCCCTCAATTAATTTTTTCGATAACCATTGTCGATCGTTGTGAAAGGCCCCGGGAAAGTTTCGTTGAAACCTAAGAACCTCTGTTTCTATTTCTGCTCGATTCCGCCGCACGTGGGCGTTGTTTATGTCGAGTCTTCTAGAAGACTGAGTTAACTTGCTTAAGTCACTGAGTCAACTC